AGCAGGATTAGGAAGATAGAAAGTCAGGGAGAAAAAGCAGGAGTTGCAAGGAGGCAATCCAAGGTCAGGTCAGCAGGAAGCAGTCTCGGTCCTTCTGAGGCAGAGCAGGGCCATCTGGAAGCCTCTTCAGGGAACATTGTCCAACCGTGTTCCAGCAGGAAGGGCTCCCAGGCAGTGAGCCACAGATTCAGGTTCAAGGATGTCTCGCACTGATACCCAGTCCAAAATCCTTACTTGATTATGAAGTTTTCTGGGTGAAGTGTTATCTTTCACACTAGCTATTTCATGGAGCTGATAAGAGGGCAGATTCGAAACTGGTAAGTACCCCATGGACAGAGCACTGTCTAAAAACAATTAACTGCCTCCTAAAACATGCTAGCTATCCATGAATGAGGGAAAGCTGATATGTGGGACACACCTAATCCAAGAGACACTCAAATTGCTTAAAGGGAGAGAAGTGGGGAGGATAAAAAATGGAGCACTGTTTAATCTGTCCCTCAAAACCTGGGACTTGACGTGTATTATGTTGCATACCAACCTTGGCACTGTAGAGGGCCTGTCATCTTAAAGAGAAGAAGCTCTCAGGGTGCAATTCTGGGCATGTTTAAGCAGATAAAAGTCCAACAACTCCCAACACACCAAGCCCAGCAACTGTAGGAAGCTTTGTCTGGCTAATTATGCACAGGATTGCAGTTTTAGAGGAAATGAAGATTAGAAATATAAGAATCAGAATGGAGCAACACCTGGAGCTATTAATGGGAGTACAAAGGCCAAATGAGATGTGACACAGCCTGGTCTATGTCTTGAAAGGCAGGTTCACCCGCTCATTTCTGGCATGGTGGAGGGAGTCAGAGAGGTGCAATTACACGGAAGAAACTGAGCATTCTCCAAAGCACTTTTCTCTACAGCCAGCCTTATTTTTGGTGGAGCCCAGTTGGAGGAACGAGAGACTGTGGCAAATTAAAGCACTGGGATGAATGGGAGCTGCACTGAGCTTTCACTTTTTAAACAGGGACCTCCAGTCTGCTATGTGATTGGGGCAGAAGACTGGATATATCAGTAGCCATGATAGATCTGAGGATAGGATCCATCTACTCACCACCTGCCATTTCATACACGATCTTTTCATTCAAAGTTTTATCTCCATCAATGGCATAGAGTGGCCCTGGCTCCAAGATTAGGGGCTCAGTCTGCAATAAAAACCAGGCAGATTATTTCCAAATATTGCCAGCCCAAGACATGCTATCACTTAGAGCATAATGTTGTAGCATTTCCTAGCATGATAGGAAAAAATAGCTGACTTTCCTCCTGCTACAAAAAAAGAAAGAAAAGAAAAGCTGGAAAAAGGGCTGGACAATGAGGGAGAAGCCCTGGAGGGTGATGGCATTGTGCAAAGGGCTCACAAGCATCCATGGGTAAAGGAACATGGCTTCACAAGAAATGCCTCATGTAAAGGAGCCTGCATACTGCTCAAGGTGTGTTGCAACATGATTGGATCCACTCTGATTCTAAAACTCCAGAGGGCTCAAAACATTCACCCTGATAGCATTAAGGAAAAGGGACTTCTGTGTGGGAGCTCATTCAAGGTGCTAAAGAGAGGGCCTGCTTAACCAGGGCTTGGATAGCCCAGGGGTTCCTGGGTGCAACCCCTTCCCCATGATGGGAGACAAAAATGAGGCTCCCTTGGTAGATTGTGCTCCAGGATATTTTTGGAAACCTCTTTCCATGTATCTGTGGTTCCAATCTGCTGAGATTTGCTGGGCCAAGAGGCATTCGGAACCTTTGCTGCCCTTCTGCTAAAGCAGAACTGGACACAGACTCTGCTCTGGGTTGGGAGACAACCCTCATGAGATGAGGTGTCCTTGAGTGGGTTGTAAAGATGGAAATGGTCCGCTTTGCCTCCCCAGTCGCTGTTCTCAGGGGCAGCTGGGGTGCAGTCGGCATCTCATTCCAGGTGGTGCCACCAGCTGCGCTTGATGCAGCAGGTGGAGGTGGTTCCACTCAAGGCTCTTGTCGGCTGCTCTTTGAATCGGTGCAAAGCAAAGGCACGAAGCACAGGGCAAGCCAAGCAGGATGCCTGAGCAAGTGAGGCACCGCGGCACGGGTATAGTCTCAGGACCCCTTGTGCATACCGCCATCTCCGAGATGTTGATCTTGCCCCTGTAGCCATGGCTGAGGCACACGGTGTTGGTGCCTCCGATGAAAGTGCATGGCTGGAACCAGGGAGGCCTGAGGTCAGCCTGCAGGATGTAGATGCTTATAGTTGCTGTGGCGGTGTGCGTGCCCACTGCGCTGGCTGTGCCGTCCTGTGAAAGAAGACGAATGAAGGAGAGCAAGTGGGAATGCGCCCTTCAGGCAAAATATATTGCTGGACAGAACTGCCACAGCTGGATACTTTCACATCCTAGTGCTATAGTTTATCACCATCAAATGCTCTCAGTCAAAGCAGAGGTGCGGTTGGTGGCTGCCTGGAAGGGCTGCTGCATCTTTCATCTGGAGCCTGGATCTCTGGGAGGCCTGCTGCCCCACCACCTTGCTCTTCCTGGACACTTGCTATGGCAAAGGTCCAGGACCGCTCAGGATCCCTGTCCCATCTGGACTCTCTAAGCCTCGGTGAGCCCCCATGCACCTCACCTCCTGCTGCTTCCCCAGAATCTTTCTGCCTGAGGGTCCCCCCCCCCGAAATCAAATGCACTCCTCTCTGCTGTTGATACTTCCCTTTTTACAAAAGGGTGTCCTTAGGAGACCGGGCCCTTTAAAGACACAATCAAAAGTGGCTGCATTCACTGAACACAACAAGCAACTCTGCATGGTTACCACGGTTCATGATGTTTTACTATGTTCTATCTGACAGGCAACCAAGCGGTTTCTATGTTATCATGGTTTCCATCCTTTCTGCTCAGTACTGTTGGCATGTATTCCATCAGTCATTGTACCTAAAATTCAATCCCATGGTGCATTGCTCCCTGCCTGTGCCACATGCCTCTTCTTTGTTGGTCCACACATAAAGACTGGATGGCCAGAGCAGCTTCTGCAGCTGCCAGTCTTTCCAGAAGACTCTGTAGTAGTTTCGTACCAGGACCATGGAAACCACTGTCCTGGATTCAGGTGACATAGCAAACCATGGTGACAGGGAAGCAGCACACGACAAACTGTTGTTTTTCACTGTCGTTTCTAAAAACCACACTTACCTTGGTAAAATACTGCACTTAGGGTTGGACAGGCCAACAATGGTAAAAAAACCACCATACTTTGTCATGTCACCTGAACCCAGCCACTGCTAAACATACGTAAATTGGTATATGCAAAGTTGTGCTCTTTGTTTTGCTTTGATTTTGGTACACTGATCTTGGTGCACTGATTTGATTTTGCATTATTTGACATGCAATGCATCTGATTGAGGAGAATGTCTCATGCGCACTCTTACATGAACACCCAGCCCTGAACCACTGAGCCTCTCCGTTTACTTCAAGGAACTTGGATTGTGTCCCTGTACTGAAGGGAATGGGGTAACTTCTGCGGATTGGGGGGGGAGGGGCACATGGGAAGGCTTGTGCCCAAGCCAGACCTCACGGATCTGGCCAGTGTCAACAGTACCCTCTAAAACAGTAAAGAGTGTGGCTCTGGCAAATGATAAAATATGTGCATGCAATGGAGCAGCTTCAAATAAATGGCCTTTTTGCTTCCATATGGAACTCACCATGGCATGTAAGGTAAGCACCATGAAGTTGATTTGCTCATAATCCAGAGCCCTGCGCAGGGAAATCTGTGGGTTATTAACGCCTTGTATATTGAAATAAGCTGTTGCTACCTGTAGAATAAGGAAGATATGGTGACAATCTAAATCACAAATGCAGGAATATCATTTAAATATATCCTCTTAAGCTGATTATTTTTCTTTAACTGCCAAGGCAACTGAGTTATGGGAATTCTGAGGTTTCTGGCTTCCATCCTGCTGATAAAATGGATCTGCCTCTTGCCCTCGATACATACCGATGGATTTTTTTTAAGTGACAGGAAATGTTCATTTATGCTGAGGGGGAAGAGTAGCACTAATAATCTGGATTCCACTTAAATTTAGTAAAACGGTACAGTTAGATTCTACAGGAGAATAGAAGGAAGGCTATTCTAGACTTCAAGCATCCCCAAAGAGTGCCCAATTTTTTTCATATCCATGCACAAACTGAACTCAATTAATTTTATTTAATTGTTGCATGGCTCTTACTGTTTTAGTTCATGAGTCACCTAATCACCTTCCTGAAGCTTAGACCTGTTCTGGCTATTAATACACCATTAAGCTATTATTTCTACTTTCAGCTTTGTGGCAGACCTGAGATCTGAGCACTGCACAAGCTGCAATTCTGTTTTTACATTACATAACCTCTAGGTTGCACTGTGGAAGATTGGAATGGCACAAAGACACAAGAGGAAATAGCATTTACTTTTAATTTCATGATTAAATGCCCCCCTTTCCTTGCTGTAAAAGAGCTTCTTGAAATTGCTATTAGACACAGAAGCAAAACTAGAGGGTCAGGACATTATCTAAACAACTTGCAACAGCTGTAATGCACAACATGTAGAAAAGCTCTTCAAGCCATTGGCCCCCATCTCCAGGTCCTCCCTCCCACAACAAAGAGACTGTCCTCTCTGCTAGCAATGACCACGTGTTTGGACCAACCAAGGCTGGACAGGACCATCAAAATGCCATTGTCCCACTTCTCCCCACTTCTCCCCACCTCCATCCATTCCCCCCAATAAAACAAGATCAACCTGCTTTGGCCATCATTTGTCTGGAAAAAGTTGCCAGCTCATATCAGAAGGGAAGAACTTATTACAGACTCTACATCTCTTTTAGCAATTGCTTAATTTTGCTCTATTTTCCCCTCCATACCGAAGACTCAGTTCAATTATAGATACTAACTGTTGGATTTCCTGTAAGGCTGTAATATATTACATCTAAGTCAGCATCAGTCGCAGTTACATTTGCCTGGGGCACAATGACTGTGTTCACTTTTGTATCCTGTAGGGTGGGAAAGAAACATGTGGGTATGTGTCAAATGCAATTTACACAAGATGATAGAGATTAGATAAAGATATAGCTGTACTTACACATAACATCTCTCAGAATAGCCAAGCTACTCACAACATTCACATACAATCCAGGAAAAAAGAGCTATAAAATTTGCTTCTATGTCAAGGCTATACCAGATGTGATAAACTGAGGGAATGCAATTAATATCCACATTTTTGTTATATGAATAACAACCGTGGGAGGCTTGAGAACTGGGAGGGGGGAGTTAGCACTTTCTTTTCAATCCACTCTCCCAGCCTCGTCTTCATTAACACCAATAGAGCTGTTCGTCTTTCTCTGTGGCTCCTACTGAGGCATGTAATAAAAAATCTGCCCATCCTGTAACCTCAGTCATAGGCTAGACACATATCTTTCATTTTAAAATAGATTTATATTCTGTCCCTTCTCCTAAGCACTCAGAGTTGCATATGCACTGTCCCCTTCTTGCCCGCCTGTCCTCAGAACAACCCTGCTGAGGCCGAGCTGATAGAGACTGGCTGTTTCAAATCCAGCCCGTTAACTTATGGCTAGTTGAGGATTTTAACCCACATCTCGCTCATTCTAGTCTCTAACAACATCAGCTTCTCCATGTTGTGACAAAAACAAAAGATAAGTGATGGTTGGTTGGTGATATATTACAAGACACAGTGAAGTGGAAACATATTAGATGCCTGTACAGCAATTTCTCATAGACAGAAATCTGAGTGATGCTTTAAAGCACACATGTTTGACAACAGCATCTTAAAGTTTAAGTGTGAGAAGATTCTATATGTGGAATAGTAATGAAGACTTGTAAAATTTAGCAAGCATATAATAGAGTTACTGCTCTCTTCTGTTATCACTGTATGCTACATTTCCCTGCATTTAATTGCTTAATAGCTTTATGGTAGAGAGAAAACCTTTATCTCCATTCTATATTTAATCTTTTAAGACAGGTTGTCACATCATGCAAACAAAGGCAGTAGGGGCTGTGTGAGGGTTAAACAAGGTCAAGCAAGGGTTGTTTATCCACCCCTTTTTGCCCAGGTTCAACAAGCTGTGGCCGGACAGTGAATATACAAATTCTGCCTGGCTTGTGCCGGCATGTATTGATCATATGAACTGGGACTTTAGTTTTAGTGGGGCTTCCTCTAAGGTAGGCAGCTTGAGAGGGGCTTAGGATGTTATCCCTTTAGAAATATGACTTAATGAAGTAGTTGCCATATTAAAATAAATGAAGATACAAGAAGGTCCTACTTGGAATAAGAACAGTTGCTACAGTGATTTGAATGAACTGCTAGCATTATCGGAGATCTGAGATATTTTGTAAACCTGTTATGTTCTATAGCTGTTTAGAACTGTTTGACAACTTCTATTGCTCTTTTTTGATCATTATGTTAACTTGCATTCACTAGACAATTATATTTCATTCATTTTTGCATTTACAGCATTTACATAGACTGCCCAAGAGCATTGTTCTCAGCGTAGTTCACAATTAAAAAATTGTACTAAAATACATTTTTAAAAATACAATATTATGAAGCAAGCTACAGCTTAAACAATTTCCAGGGAACAGAGCAATAAAACCAGATTGTATGCACGCTGAAGAAGCAGACAAAGAGAATATGCATGCAAGGCCAGTTGTGATGAAAGATTTGGGGATGGAGGGTGTTTTTAGTGGCATGGATGGCATAATAAATCTGTACATTTTTAGGTTATGATTTTGCCTTACCCCCTTTGATATTTGTCTGTTGTGGTTTTAGTGTTAAACAAAATTTCTTCATTACACGCTTTAATGCACAGACATCATATTTTGTTGCATTTATACACTGCCTCTTGCAACTTGTGAGGGACTCAAGGTGGCTTACAAAGCTCAACTTTCTCCTCAGAACAGCAGCCCTGTGAGGAAAGTGAAGCTGATAGTCTGTGACAGGCCCAGAGTCCCCCAGTTGGCTTCATGGCTGAGCGTGGCTAGAACCTGGACCTCCTGGCTCCCTAGTCCAGCATGCTCACCTCTGCGCTGCACTGGCTCTCACTGCTCATACAAGGTTTCCTTCCTCCCAGGATTTTGCTTCCACAAGAATTGCAATCATGTCCCATCACCTTTAAAATTGCTTACCTCATTAACACGGACGGTCATGTTAGTGTGACTAAAAACGGGTGGGTTGTCATTCACATTGACAATGGTCACCACAATGTTCAGAACAGTTTCCTGGTGATGAGTAAGCCAGAAGAAGGTTAGCAGTTGGTCATGCAAACCTTAAAAGCCAAGAACACTGCATCATTCTGCAAGGTGGCCACATGACCAATATTGGCCTTAGACGAGGAATGTGTGGCATCAGACATGAGCTAGGATTGAAAATGATACTGATCCAACAGTGTGTGTGTAGCAATGATTGGGGGCACATGTAATAGCAGTTCAGGGGATGGATTGCTGCCTTGCCCAGGGCTTACTGGTGATTTGTCTGCAGAATGATCCCTCAGAGCATGGCTTGTTTTTCCAATCCCTCAGTTCTTTGCCCATGCCCTCCCTGTATCCCGTGTATCTTGCAGCACTGTTCATTGCAGGTAGAGCAGCCAGCTCTGTAAGCACTGCCTATAATTAAAACAAATCCAAAGTTCAACCTGACAACAAACTATGGGTTCTCTTCCAAGGATGTTTATGGTTAATAACCCATACTTAACCCATAGTTCCAGGTTTCTACATATAAACAAGCCGGGTTTCAATAACTCATACTCTGGGTTGTTCTTACACATGAACCAGGCCCAAGCATGGGAGACTTTCCTTGAAGAAATAGCTGGAGGGAGAGCCAGATTGCTATCATGGCACCAGAGGAAGGGGGCTTTAGCCCTTTATTTCCCTGAGGAGCCTAGCACCACCAAAGCCACTGTGAACGCTAGTGACTATGTCGGGGTGGACACATGGTGGCTTTTCAGGACCCTGGAGACAGAGCTCTTGCCTGTGATTGACTTTAATGTGTGACCAGTTGCCCCACCCCCGCTGCCAGAGACCATCTTGCAGGTTGCTCCAGTAGTATAACAAGGATGGCAGAGAATTCAAGCGAGATCCTTGAAGTATTAACAGACTTATGAACATAAAGGATGGCCTCTTCATCTATCTATCCTACACTTTCCACCATGAATTACACATACATTCGCAAGAGAAGAGAGCAAATTCACTGCAGCCTTGACCTCAGACAGGGATCACAGCACAAACCCATCCTTCAAGCCTCATGATGAACCCACAGAGAGGGGCCTGCCATTTTGCCTCTGCAATATCTAACAACGGGAAGACACAAGCTTTGAAATATACTCACTATCATCCCCGCACCGGTGCATTTCAGGAACACTAGCAGCACTGTTGTATTCTGCAAAAAAAGGAACCCCACATACTGTAACTTGGACAGGTATTTCTTCCATAGAAGCTCATGCACAGGTAGATTCCCTTGGGCTCAGGGACGAAGTGCCCAGGTCAGCATTCTTAAACAAAGTGCTTTCAATTTGCCTCTGCATGGCAAAAGAGGCGGGGAGCATCTTAGACTGCCCCAGGTACCAGATGCCGCACTGCAGCAGCCCTGCTTCTCAGGGCTGTGATCACACCGTCCGGGAGGTGCCTGCCAGAGCAGGGATTCTCTTGCAGCTGGAGTCAGGGGAGTGTGGAGGGTGACTGGAGCGCCCACGGTCCGAGGCCCAGTGAGGCCTGTGGAGGCAGGGCTCCCTCAAGCCGCTCAAGTCTCTTCTCTGAACATGTAGCTTATTTTTGAAAAAAATCAATGTTGGCAGCTTGTTTGCTGGAAAACTGATACGAAGCTATGTCAGTCCATTTTCTGCCTTACATATCCAAATAAGCCTGCACACTTTTTTGCCAGATGTTTGGCCAATGAGTACAAAAGCAGTGGGATAGCTAACAAGTACAAATCACTAATACTCTGTTTTTATTTTATTAATATTCACCGATTTGGCTACTGGTATTTTGGGCCTGGCTCTACTGAATTGATTCACACCCACCTCACACTGTGGGTTGTCTTATACCCTTAGGACCTATATCTGGATTTCTGGACAGCTGCCATTATGCCGTTGAACCCTAGTCAAACTTATGATGTATCTGTTTTCCAGTCAGTTACCTCGTAATCCACTGAATATTTCAGGATAAGTTGCAAGTCCTTCATCTCAAACCAGTGAAAGTCTGTTCCTGGCTGAGGGTCAACGGTGACCGTGACACCAGCAGCTGCTCTAACGTTGGTGATCACCATCCCTGGTGGGTTGTTCTCCTCTATGCTAAACATGTCATTTTGTACTGAACAAACTAGTGAAACAAAAGAAAATATTTCATATCAGTGAAATCAGAAATCTGCTGGATGGACACCATACGTTCTGCCACTGTAAACCCAAGTAGTACTTTGTATTCTAGTCCACCATCTTGTCTGTGCAGGGATTGTCTCTAAACGCCTCACAGAATGTGCCATGTAGTGAAGTAGTGGGCAGGTGTGAGAGGATCTACACTATAATCTTTTCATCCAAGCTGGTATCTAGGTAATAGGTACATTATCATTCAACCCTTTCACCAATTTTTATGGGATCTAGTTTTATACACTTGGACAAATCACAGCCCATAACAAATTTAGAAACTTAACTCCTTGCCTTGACCATAATGCAACATTATTCTTATTCATACCTTTAATTCTGAATTAATTATTCAGATTAATTAAGCTAATAATTATTTTTAAAAAGCACTTACTTTCTTTTGTAATTGCCTCTTTTTTGGCCCATGTCCCTGAAAATGTTTATATATTTTTGATATGAACTGCACAAAGATCTGCTAATATATATATATATATATATATATATATATATATCTTCTTAGCAAGTTAGAAAGTTTATATAGATTTTGGCCCAGACAACTAATTATGCTTGAAAAACAAAGAAGACAAGCTGTTCTTCTGTTTACTTTTACCTGGGAATGAATCCCCTGAACACAGCAGGACTTTTATCTGAGAAAGATACACCCATAGTTTTTGTTCTTTTGGTATACTTCCTCATGAACACTTATTTCTCATTCATCATTTTATTTTGCTTTTTAAATTTGATTTTTATATACTGCCCCACTTACATAAGCCCTGGCCAGTTTACAAGAGATTAAAACCAATAAGAATTCACATTTGAACCTTAAGCAAGCATAAAACTCATCTGGAAACTAAACTGGGAAAGTCTGTCGGAAGACTCTCCTTCTTGAAGGTGGCAATCTGGGATATCTGGTGCTTCTCTCCTGGTAGACCATTCCACAATTTAGAGACAACCACTGAGAAAGACCTCTAGGTAGTTGGCGTTAATTTTTAAACTTTGAAAAGCAAACCATAATCAAAGACTTTGCTCATGCCCAAAGCACATACTTACTTTCGCCCACTGCCTGAAGATGACTTACTGATACCAAGAGGAGAAGGAAGAACACACAGATACAGAGACGACGGAAGAAAGCCATCTGGATGTTGCACAAGGAAAAAATAAATAAAGCACAATCATCCACTTTTCTTCACTTATTGTCCCAAGGGATCTTCATGTCATTGTTCCACAAGGAAATAACATTGTGAATGAAACTGAGCTGACACAGTCATCTAACCTTTGCCTCCTAGTTTATTGATTCACTTATTTATGACTTAACTACTGGTGCCATTTGCTGAACGTAATAAGAAGTCTTTCCCTGCTTAGAGGCTGGATTACTTCTGTGGAACGCTGCAATCCTGGGCATGCGCATTCAGTTGTACATTTCGCTGAATTCAGTGAGAAGCAAAATCAAATGAAAATGTGTGATCCTGAAAGCCATTTCTTCAGCCCATCTCCCGGTCATGAAATATTTTAATAAGGACATCCAGAGATTCAATTTTTTTGGAAATTTGAACACCAGGAAGTAGGATGCCATTTATGGAGAACCAGGACCCAAACATAAGGTTCAGCCCTGAGTCCTGTAAGGTAATAACAAAAATGACTATAGCAAATGTTTGTCTGTGGCCATCCAATGGGCATGGACAGAGGACTCATCCCAAATATCAGGGCTGTAATGATAAATTCGGAGGTGCTGGTGCTTGCTGGGATAGTCTGAGCAACCACTTCCCCGACAGACACACAAAATTCAGGCAACTGCAATGATCTTTATCAAGCAACCAATTTTTATGAATTATACATGGAATTATTTAAAAATAAATAGCTTGTACAATTTGATTGTGTGGGATGTGAGTGACTTGTTTATTTGGCTTGTTTATTTTTTTTCTCTTTCTCTGTTTAGGAAGCAATGCTGTGGTCCCTAGACAGAGTCTGAAAGGCCATAGCAGAATTTGAACTGCCAGATCTGAGGCTGGAGAAAGAACCTTGGCCTTGGAGTGGAGAATTAGAGCTCCAGCTCCCCACACTGCGACCTTCCACTCATGGCCAGCACTTACCACATTGCGCCAACTGCTGTCTAAGGCCAGGAAAGCGACCTCGGAAAGGTGGAGAAGGGGGCACTTTGGGGGTGGGGTGGGGTGGGGTGGGGAGGAGATAAGACTGGAAGGAGCAGGATTTCTCTTAATACCCCTCCTTCCTTCCATCTCTAGGCCATTCCATCTGGAAAGGCAAAAAAGCCCCTCCAGTGGAAAAGGCAGGTCGAGAGTACAGGCCAAAGCTTGGCTCCGCTGCTTCTTCTGCCCAGCATGACCAGAAGCCTCTGAGTTCAGCAGCTTGCAACCTTCCTCACAGGTTTCTTCCCTTAATGGTATTTCAAGGAATGTCAAGGGATTGTGGAATTTAGATAAGTGGAAGAGGATTCTTCTCTCCAAGCTCAAGTTTGACATTAATGTGGCTTTTTCATGAGAAACTCATTGGATGGCCACAGATGAACATTTGCTGAGATGAAATCAGGTGGAAGAGGTCAATGTAAGAGGTACTTTAAAGCAACTCTTTTCCATTCACCTGGTGATCTGGATGCTGACTTTTTAAAAATCTCTCTTTGGGAAATATATGGATAAGGTAATTGCCATATGGCAGTGTATATGGACCTAATAAACATTTTTCAATTCTCTCCCATGAATATTTTGACAAATTGGTTGATATTGGTTATGATAAGTTCATTGTGAGTCAGGGCTTCTGTGGGATTTTTGCTCTGTTGCTGAAGAGGCAAATCATGGTGAGATTTATACTTTAGGGCTATACGGCTGAACTTCATTTGGTTCTTGCTTGGAGAATTTTGCTTCCTAGTGAGAGAAATTGCACTTCTATTTCACTTGCCTTTTGTAACTGCTTTCAGTTGCATTATTCTTTTGGCTTCTGCATCTCTGTTCCATCAAATAAAGACATGCAAGATTGATATGCTTGTAGTTTCTTGGCACTTGAGTTTCTCTTGGTTTCTCTTTTCCCTACTAAGTTACTTGAATATTTCAAGATTCATGAGGTACCATTGATTCCTACACCATACAATGGGAGTCCAGTTAAGCATCTATACAGGACTAAACTATTGCCCACTCTTCCTAGAAGAAAAACAACATTGGATATGTTTAAATAAGAAACTGAAATTTCTCATAACTCAGTTTGGCTATCTGCCCAGCTCTTCAACTTTATCAGGAATTGCAGAGCTGAATAATATTCCTTCACAGCAGGGAGAATTTGCATTAACTGTCTATGATATGCATATAGAGAAAACGCTAAGCATCCTAATAAGATTCTTGCACATCATCTTAAGCAAAATCATCTCCTTCACAATGGCATTTTCATTCATTCATTCATTCATTCATTCATTCATTTAAAACTCTTATATCCTGTCTATACCAACAGATATCCAAATGGCTCACAACAAAGCAGCATAATTAAAATAGTGTTTTAAAACATATAATAAAATTCCTATCTTGAAAATGCCATCAAACCTTAAAATACCAGGTAAATAAAAAGGTATTAGCCTGGCACTGAAATGAATAAAGTATCAGCACCAGATGCACCTCTCTGAAAAGCAAGTTCCAGTGCCGGGGTGCTACCACAGAAAAGGCCCTTCCCCAGGTAGCCACTCTTCTAGCCTCCTTCAAAGAGGGCTCCTCAAGAAGGACCTCAGTGGAAGTTCTTAAGGCTCAGGCAGGTGCATATGGAGGGAGATGCTCCTTCAGATATCCAGGCCACAGTCCATTTAGGACTTTGTAGGCCAAAGTTAGCACCTTAAATTGGCCCCGGACTTCAGTTGGTGCCAGTGCAGATGGTACAGGACCAGCATTATATGGTCATGCCTTCTAGTCCCTGTCAATAGCCTGGCCGCTCTATTTTGTACCAGCTGAAGTATCCAGACCATCTTCAAGGGTAGCCCCACATACAGCACATTAACAATAGTCTTCTTTTAATTCCTTTACATATTGAAGAACTTACAAAAGCAACTAGGAGGAAGAATTCTGAGAAATAACTTGCTGCAGATGGGTTTCCAACTGAGTGGCACAGAACATTTTTCTACCCGTTAGTTCCAAAACTTTGTCGTCTTTATAATCACTTTTTTTAGTTTGCCTCCCTTTCTTCACTCTTAAGTAATGCCTATCTTACTATGATTCCTAAACCTGGTAAACATTCTCCTTACTGTACTATCAGTCTATCTCATTGATTCATGTAGATATTAAGTTGAAAATATGAACTGAATTCTGGCCAATGGATTGTAAGAGGGTATCACAACTTTGGTTTGGGTGGAACTCGTGAGATTTCGCAAACATGGACAGGGGGCTGATAACCTCTGATTAGTTGTGGATCTGATCACTTTTATCATTGATAGAACAAACCAGGCTGCTTCCATTGTTTCTTCAGACATTGAGAAGGATTTGACAAAATTAATTGGAAATGTATATTTTCCATGTTGATTGGCTTTCCTGCAGAATTTTTAAAATTCCTTAGACTTTTATGTTCAACCTAAAGGGCTCAAGTTATGACTAATGGTCTTTTAAAACTTTTTTTTCCACTAAGAAGCAGCAGACAGAGGACCCACTTTCTACTTGATATTTGATTTATGTTTGGCCTTTGGACTAAATGAATATTAGTATTCATGACTGTGCATGATGGTCCAGAATTTCAAATAATACTTAATGCTGATGATCTTTTATTCTTATCTCAAAACTTCAGTCAACTCTTCTGGCGTTAATGCATTTGATTAATACTTTTTGGTAGCTTGCCTGGCTAATCAATTAAGTGACCAAGTTTGAATTGATGTTAGTTGAGTGTATTAACTAAGTGGAAATTTTGATGGTGTCTAGATGCTATTACTTTTGTTATTACTCATTCCTAGAACTGTATCTCAAATGATCAAATTCAGTTTGAATAAATTGATTAAGGATCTCATAGGATATAGATATATAACTATCTTTAAAGAGTTCATGCAGTAAGGCAAGTACACCCAAGCTTAATACTTTACCTTAGATTATTTGTGCCATATGAGAGATTCCTTAATTTACATCTGGCAAATATTTTCAAAAACTCACTGCTTTTTTTCTGTGTCTGTGTGTGTATTTGGTGGGGGGAGGATTGGAGTAGAGGTTCCTCCCCACCATGTATATCCTTGAAATGAAATCATCCTCAGCTAAAGCTTGGTTTTGCTCAGGGCTATGTGTGAGCCTGTTCTAAATGCAGGTCTTTTTCACTTAGGTTAGATTTTTGACCTTGGCCAGTTTTGGAAACTTGTCTGGATCCCTTCTCCAAATGGTTGGTATTATGCTCTTGGCACATTAAAATGGACTTTCTCTCACAGTTGTGGCTGTTAGAGCTGTGGCAAGTACCGTTATGGCAATTACATTTAATATTTTCATATTAAATATGAAAATATTTTCATTCCATTACATATGTTCATGCTAAATTGACTCTATGGGGAAACCCAGATTTAAAACTTGATAAAAATGTTTTTGCTGTGGACTTGAACCGATAAATCAGTTTTAACCTTGAATTTCCTAGTGGATGCTGCTGATGAGTTTTTATCATCCTCTGCCATGCATCCCAAGTATGATTTGCCTGCAGCTGCAATTGCAATATTTCTTAGAATCTTGCTACTTTTATACCTTCAGTCTCTTTTGTTATTGGAAATACTTATGGAGGCTGATCAGTTATGCTGACCCACAATAATGTTTATAAATACCTATTAGTGGTGAATAAATAGGATGCACGAGGTCATAAGCAGGGATGGCATAGGAAACTGGGCCGTCTCATTTGCAAATGAGTGGACTGCCACTTTAGTGTTTACATTTCAAGCATCTGTGGATCTTCGGTTACCCCTTACTCAGCAAAAACCCTGGAGCTTGTACTATTGCGTGTGTTCTTTTATTGCCTGCATTTTCAATTTTATTTATAAATAAAGGAGCTGAGACTTTATTGGATTTAAAATATTTAAATCATAGCAACTCTAAAGGGCTTTGAAATTCTCGGACAAGGTGTGCATGAAGGGATAACAGAGCATTTCTTCTCAATATTCCAGTAAACTCTTTCATAAATAGGGTGTGAAGGTCATGACATTACTTGTGATCGTTCTCCGTGACAGATGCTTCTCCCAGGGTGGGAGTTGCTTCTACCCCACCCCAGTCAATCTTTTCCCAAGGGAAAAGTTTTGTCAGTCATTTGTAGTTAGGTTTTAACATGGGGCAAGCCTTTATTATAGTTTACACCAGCTTCTCCCATGCTGAGCCTACATCTTCAAACTTGAAAGCACTTTTTGATGTTTTTATAATTATTCCTGTCTGCAAAGGTCTACCCACAGGTTTGAATACTAATATCAGCAGCAAAATTTTCTGAAGGAAAACGATTTTACCACTTTACAGAAAAAGGCCTTCTCCTTCAGAATCGGTTTCCTAGGAAATGTTTGCTTAAATGTGGGGGCTGGGGGGAGGAAATCCCCTTTTCAGAAGGTCTCTGACCATGCCCTGCGGGGCAAAGAGGAACCATTGCAGGGCCTTCAGGACTGATCTTCCTGCAAAAGTGGATCTGCCTGGTTAAATTGTTAGGGGCAGTTTTGGTACCTTTGGACTTCCTTTTCTACAGGGTTCAGGAGGTGGGGAAGCTGAAAGATCATCCAGACCCATCCCAACTTGGTGTCCTTTAGAAGTGTTGAAGTGCAACTCCAAAAATGTCTGGCCATATCACTTTGAACTCTCTTTCACTGAAGAGAAAATAAAGTACCTGTGTCTTTTTCTAGAGTGACTTGAGCAACAAGCTTTATGATCTTGACCAGTGAGCTAATTGTAGTAACAAAAATACTGCTTGAAGTGATCGTGCAGTTCTTGAGAATTCACAACTGAATGGGTTCAGCCAATATGGCAACTCACACTCAAGAGTTCAGTGTGGGTTGCCATCGAAGCATGAGTTGTTGCTGAAATATGGGTTATTGTGTTGTCTGAACCTAATTTCACGAACAAAGCATGGTGAACAACCCAGCAACAAACCATGGATCTCTTCATGGGTTGCTAGAGGTCAACAAGCCATGCCTTATTTACCACAGATAGGTTCAACCTTTGAGTGTGGATTATTGTACTGTCTGAGGCCAGGCAACATGTAACTTGGTGCCACTTGAAGATGGTTCTTTTCCAGCAAGCCTTCAGTTTATCTGCTGCACTAGAGTTTTTTCCTTTTTAGTCCTTGTTTAGTTTTAACTTAAGCAGTTTTGCTACTGCTTTTGTATTCTATTAATTTGCTTTTGACTGATGTAGGTCTTGCACTGAGCAAGGGGCTGATGTATATGCCCTCCATGACTCTTTCTGCGATTCCATAAGCCAGCTGCTGTGGACACTTCCTTTTGAACACCAAAATGAGGTACTTTAATAATACTCACATGCAAAGGCTAAATTACACGATAGTTTCATTATTCTTTTCTTCAGTTTTCTTTCCCTGAGGGAAGACACCACTGAGCAGCTGGAATTTAGAACAAAGGTGCAAGAGAGGGAAGACATTGATTAAACCTCTCTGCACCAGTCATTTTTCGGCTCAAAACCCTCCTCTCCTAGTGTCATTCTCATTCAGAATGAGAAAAAACATATTGTGAACTTTTCCAATGTGAGAGAAAGCAAACAGAGGTAGGGATCATCCCAAATGCCAGGGAAAGAATTTACTAGTTCCTATTCTCCAGCAACTACATCTTCCATGGCATCTGAGCTGAAGTCACCACTTGACACTGCAGTCATCATGTCCTTGTCCTTCAAAAGTTCATGTTCTCACCTCAGGTATTTGGCTATGCTTTCCCATGAATGGTGTCTTCATGCAAACAACGTTCCACAGTGTGGTCACAGTGAGAATCTTTGTATCAGCATGAGCAGCCCCTCACAAAGCCCAAGGTACTTCTATGGAGAATGTCTGCATGTCTGTCTGATTATTTATTATTAACAGGAGAACCTATTACCTGGAGAAGTTGTGGGCGCTCCCTCACTAGAGACATTTGAAAAGCGCCTGGACAGCCATCTGAGTGGGATGGTATAACTTGGTGTCCTGCAACAGCAGGGGGATGGACCCAACAGCCTTCATGGCCCTTTCCCACTCTACGGTTCTATGATTCTATCTATGTGTCTGATGGGGTCCACATGCCTTGTCAAAGGTACAGCTCCCTGTGGCACTCATTATTCATGGTTGGTCTGCTGAAGCCTAAGCCAAGTTTCAGACATTATGACCTGGTTTGCACATGACAAGAAGCCACTGTGGATGAATGTCCTTGTAGGAGTTGTATTGTGCAGGTAGCTGTCATTTTGAGTATTCAAGCTCTGGTTGGGCAAATATAGCCTTGTTGTTACATGTGAATCCAGAAAGAGTACATTTGGGGGGTAGTTAATAAGTCACCCACAGCCTGTGGCCTGCTTTACAGGAGACCCATTTGCTGAGAAAGCATGTCCTGGTTGTGGCTGTCTTGGAATGGGAAAGAGAAAGGAGATGGTTCCCATAAGATAAGGCAATGGTACCTATAGCCTCTTATTGTTCCCATAACATACTGATCACAATCCTCTCTAAATTAAAAAAGAAAAGTGATAAATGGAAGCACTTCTTTGGAATGTGATCAGTTGATTGCTGGGGTGAAAGAAATGACTCAAAGGGCAGTGAGATTATTCTTCATCTTGCAATAAAGGGCATAACTCTAGGAGTTAGATGTGCAGACCCTCCTATCTGCCTCACGCTTTGCAGAGACTGCCAGCAGTCAAGAAAGCCTCCAGAGGACCCTGTGCTTGGCTGGGACAGAAGACTCATCTGGCTGCACTGGCCTCTCATCTCGACTGGAAAGTATCTCAGTAAATCAGCTTCAATTGCCTAGCAGAATGAACTCTGTGCATAATGAGTGTTTATATTTCCTTCTCTCCACCATCTTTCTGGTAGAACACTGCTGCCTGCCACATCAGAGAATCTGCAGCGGTATCTGGGGCCATAGCAGCATGATAACGAGCTAGGCTAGCAAATGCTGTTCTCCTGAATGCCACCTGCACTTCCTAATGTGCATCGCTCATCTCAGAGGAAGTGGCGCTGTTTGCATTTGGAAAGTGTGGAAGCCCAGACTGGGATTTCTCACCCAGCATGCAAAATTTGCACTAAAGAACGGTTCTCTGATATATTTTTTTCTCATGATACAAGCAGGTTTCCAAGATTCTTCCAGAGGATGAAAACAACTACATTTACCTAAAAGCCTAATTTAAGGGAGCGCATCTACTTTGCAAGGTAACTTTATTTCATTTGTGGTCACTTATCCAATAACACAGGGAAAATGCTAAAAAACAGCTAAAATGTTTTGCTATAGCTACTTTATTAGACCTGAACAAGTTGCAAGCAAGTTGAAGATAAGACTCCACCATGAGGCATATTCTGAATACCTGAATCTACCACATTCTAAGGAAGCCCCATTTCTGTGGCTTGATCTAGACCCCCCACTATTTCCCCTTTTTAGCTATTTGTTTTCCCCACGTCACTTAATTTACACAAGAAAAACAACAGTGGCTGTTTTCTTAGGCAAGTATTCTCCCAGGGTTGGATTCCCGATTTTCTTCAGAGGCTGCTTCATTCATCTCTGCAATCAGCTGGCAAACAGAGCGACTAATGATCTGAGCCGCATCATTTCCTTCTTGGCCTGAAAAACTGTCACCAGAAAAGTGCAGGTAAATATCCTGGAAGAGTGATGGCCTGGCATTCCTGAAACACAGCATTCCTACCCGCCATCATCGCTAAATCAGGAAACTTTTGCTCAGCTTTTCAGAACTCGGCACCTTCCAGAGATGCTGGCCTTGCTGGTGGGGTTGGACGGGAACTGTACTCCAGCATATCTGGAGGGTGCCGGATTGGGGAAAGCTGCTCTTGATTGCGGCAGCCCCAGTCACTGACCCTTCCCCATGACAGTGTCTCCAGTCTCATCACCCCTGGTCAGCCCCCTGAATGAGCTCTGCCTTCCTTTACCCATTCTTCATGCCCAGAATGCAGAGTCCCTGCTGTTTTCTCCCCTTGTCTTCCTCTTAGCATTTCCTATCAGTCTCATAACAACTCCTGTGCCCCCAACTATTGCCAACCTGAAGCACATGCACCAGAGCCTGCAAAACACTGCTTGAGGGTGGAGCTCAAGATGGATAGTGATGCTGGCATACTATCAAGTGTTACTGGAGCCATGCTACCCACTGAGGGTCAAAGGGGCTTCTGCCTTTACTCGGCAGGACGTCTTCTGATGTTCACAGGGGAGCTTGCTCCGGGTTAACCCATGTGCAAGGCAGCTTCAGGAGGCTGCAGGTTTGGGCAGCCGAGTAAAAGGGGAGGGACAGTGGAACCCTTGCCATCCAAGGCATTTCTCTGGGCAAAGCGGCCTCGTCCTCCAATGCTTTTCCTGCTCCTCCAGGTTCCCAGGACTTTATCTTCGGGTTGCCTGAAGGGCACTGGCTGAGATGTGGATGCAGCCTACACACGGGGAGCAGGCATAGCCTTTGTCCAGCTACACTGCTCCCAGGCGCAGGCGTTGCTGGTGAAGCCTGGGGCTGGACCACGCAGATCAGCATGGAGCCACACCACTCCTCTTCCATTCCACACAGGCGGCAGCAGCAGCAGCGGCGGCGGCAGCAGCACGGAACAGCAAGGCCAGGCTATCCTGCCAAGTGGAACCTCTGCTGCTGCTCAAGGGATTCGGGGCTGATTCTGCATGAGGCGATCTTTGCTACCTTTGCTATTTATTCATGGCATGGGGCAAAGAAGGAATGAATGCAAAATAGATCCATGACAGTTGAGAAGGTCCGTTAAGCAAAGAACACATCATTAGTCATGGTGCACCAAAACGCAGCTTTCCACGTTCTTGTGCAATGGTGGAAGACTCAGGCTGAATACAGGACCAATGAAGGCATGCTCTGTGGTTGGACCTTCTGCACATCTTGTGCTCTAGTCTGACCTCCCTTACCTTACGCATCTTCAGCATTAAACATTTAGAAAGAAATTGCTACAATGTGAGCAGGCTTCTTCAGGTGCCCTCACCTTTCATCAAGGTTCTGTACAAACTGTAAACAGGTTTTCAACTGAATGACTTTGTCTTCTGGATGCCGCAAGTCGTCAGTGTTATTATGGATGAAGCCAGTTGCACCAGATGCTTCAGATGTACTGGGGACACTAACACACAAGAACAGGCCAGAAAAAAAAAATGTTAGAGATGCAAATACACATTTTCTGCACACATACCCTGTTTTTGGTGTGGGAGCTCCTCCCATTTCCACATACATTTCTTTTGTGTAAGTTGTACATGACCATATGATGTGACACAGAAAGCAGATACAGAACTGAGTTCACAACAAATAAAGACACACTTGGAAAGCACTTTCCCCCTAGACAATGGCTCAATTCAACTTGCATTTTTTCCTCCTCCCAAAATTGACTAAGACTTCTAAGGCTACTTGATTTCCTAAAGGAAATTAGAATGAAAATGGTGTGAACAGGTCAAACTTTAGTATTTCGTAATTTAAATGTATTGCCCTGTTTTGCCCTGTGCAACTCCCTTAAAGCTGTCTTGCCTTGGACCACCCTGCTTTTTGCCTCAGCCTAAAGCATGGCTTACATCAGTCAAATGGGAGATTTGGAAATGATATTTCAATCTCAAGCTTCAAGAGGCCTTTTGGGAGAGGCAAACATTGGCATGGAAATCACTGTGGGAAACAAGAAAGGCTGCACTGTGTGATTTCCTCTGTTTGCTATAGCAGCTTTCTCCTTGCAACTGCTCTGTACAACTACCAAGCAAACTGAATTTGAAGGAGGGATGGAACCGGGAGAGATGCATGAAGGCTTGTGAAGGGCCACCATGAGAAAGCCACAGTCAACCCCCTGCTGTTCTGGATAACAGAGAGGCATTTGCAGATAAGGCCCTGTAGTGGCATCCTAGCCAACTGGGTCAGCAGGAAATGCAAGCCCTCTTTTATTCCCTTGGGGAAGTAGCGGCAATTCATGTGGGAAGCCTGTACAACCTCCACTGGCCTTTACGTGGCCGTAGGACCAACCAGCACATCCAGAAGTCTAACAGGAGCTAAGGAACTGCTTTGCAGTTCTGCTCTGCAAGCAACTGGAGGCACTGAAAGAACATGTTTTCTTCCTAAACCCAGAGCTATCTGAGTTATCTGAGCAGGCTCCCAGTGGGAAGTGGAAGTGTGGTAAGGAACTAATGGGACTGTTGTTAAGTCACTTCCTCCACAGGGATTACCAGGGAAAGCACTGCTTTTCTGGATCAAGGAAGAGCTCTCTCTAAAATAATGTTTTTCACCCATGTGGACATTTTCCCCTAACAATACAAGACAAATAAAAACCAATAAATCCTATCACTTTTGCTTAATTGGTGTTCAGCCATATCTACTCTGCTTAGGATGAGGATTACATTTATATTCCACATTTCTTCCTCTTGCAAGCAACCTAAGGCAGCTTGCAAGACTCTCCTCTCAGTTTTTATGCTCACAACAACCTTATACTTTCTGTGCCTTATCGGATCCTTCTGTGTCTAGGGGTTCCTTCTTCCACTTGCTGTGTGCAAAATAGGGGTGCATGAAAAATTCATTTCCATTCGTTAAACATCAGCACTTGCCCATTTGCAGCACCAAATGCCAACACAATTCTTAAGCAAAGCTCTCACATCCCTGAGTTTGCAATTGCACTTGAAAAATACATTCATTAGGAAAAATGTAACTTAAGAACTGTACAGTTTGGGGAAAAAACCCACATTTTCATGCTTCAGCCAATAGGGGAAAGGCATGAAGTTGGTGTGCATGCTTAAAAATGAATGTGTGCCTACACCCACCCATTCAAACACCACCCCACTAGAGCTCAGATGCGGGAACAGGAATGAGGCAGACAGAGTGCTGAGGTGGGACTTGGAGACCCTTGATGAGCTCAGTCCTCACCAGTCCTCCAGTCCCAATTGCTCAGTTCCTGTTCAAAGATTCTTGTGTGTGTGTGTGTGTGTGTGTGTGTGCGCGCGCGCATATCTGTGTGCATGTACGTGCATGTGTGCATGTGAGTGAATGAGGGAGGAAGGCAATAACCTTGCAGTTAGTTGCTGTCTTTCCCAGCACTTATGAGCCAGCTGCACATTCCTAGCAAACCTTCAGATGGTCCTGGCCACAGATCAGGAATCTCACATCTGAAGTCTCAAAGGCCTAAAAAGTCAAGCCAATCTGTAACAGCTGCCTCACTTGGATAATCTGCTCAGTATTTCCATTTTCAACCTGTCACCTCCCGGTTTTTTGTTTACCTGCGCTTGTAGGTCATCAGAGTTTGAAGCAACTTGGCAAGTTTTTCATATTCTCTTCTCATTCCTTCCTGATGGATCAATTTGAGTTCAATCTGCCTCTGCTGCCTGAGGATGACAAAAAGTGATGCTAAGCATGCTGTGGCGTTTGTGACTTTCTGAGATTGTCTTCAAGTCCATCACATGTCACTTAAGTAATGACTACCAATATATTGGGTTGCTTTACTAAAGCTTTTTACAAATGTTGCAAGGTGTAAATTCCATTTTTATTAATTAAATAGAAACTCAACTGAATTATGTTACAAGTCATCTATCAGCTGAAGGCATGTCCACTCTCTGATGAACTTTTGACATGATGACTGATGTGCAGATGATCTCAAAAATATTATAATTAATCCTTTTAAGCTTCAATCTGAAACGCAGCAAGTTCTAACAGTGACTGTATCCACAAAATACCTTCATGGCTACAGGACACTAATCAATTCTTACACAATCCCTCAGTTTGCTCCTTTTTAAAGGGCAGATACAAGAAAAACAATCAGTAGTGGTCAAACCAGCCTTTGAAGTGCTGAAAGAAGTGTTCACTTGTCATTACAGTGATCTGATTACCGTCATTCCATACAACCCTGAACATGAAGCAAAGAGGAATTACCAACTGCACAGGTGGAATATGTCAGGGAGTTGAAACTGGGAAATCATGGAACCAGCAATAACATCTGAAAGCTGCTTCAGGAAATAAAGACAAAAAGCTGAGCCACAGAAGGATTTTTACCTTTCCAAAGAAGGAAGTGATGCTGACATGTGAGCGAAGATCATCATCGCCATGGTTAGCTGCCACAGTCCCATCGTCAGCGAAACAATGAAGTTTCCTTAAAATCCAAAGAGTGGTGATGCTTAATGATAAAGGGCTTGTTGTCAGATCAGTATATAGTTCACACTCACACTTTCCAGTGGGATGTAAATAAAGCCATTGACATTAACAAAGAAAGACAGGCTCACTGGCAGGGACTGAAAGAATAATTATGGTAGAGGTTTTGCTAGAATGATCAATTTACCTTGGCTGGCAATTTCAGGGACTACGCATTTTATGATATGGGCAGTGAATGTCCAGGGTGAGAGGTATAGATGTTGGGGAAATAAACAACAGATTCAAATAAGTTTGGATTTCTAGGAATCCAACCATATCAGTGTGACTGTGCATTAGTATGAGAGGAATTCTATTTTTACATATCCTTTTAAAAAGTCCCTCAATGATTAAGAAGAATGAAAGATAATTGAAAACTGGTAAAACACGGAGGAAATTTAATGAAATCCATGCATCATGAGGAGTATGATTGTATACTAGGCTGGATTGTTCTGCAAATCACATGGATAAATACTTTAGCCATGTGAAAATGTAGGCTGATGCCACACAAACATTGGAAAACTCTACCTGAAAAGGGTCACCTAGTGCCCATTTTGATAT